TCATCTTCTGTCACTTTGTCTTTTTAAATGTCGATTTAATGAGATTTTTGCATGAGGCTTCACATATTCACTAAATAACCATAAAGCTATCATCTTAATTATGAGTATTATTATAATAACGGTTGGTTTTTGTTGTTGGATGAATGCATGAATGCTCAGTCTCTCTCAGTCTATTGATGCTCTGTTGTGCCCCTCGATGTTTCTGTGCGACGAAGGTTTTGATGGAAACATCTGCCTCTGAAATGACTTGGATGTGAGGAGCACATATTTTATCCAGGAGCAATGCAAATTTCACAGAGGAGGTGGAAATAAAAAAGCCTGTAATGTATTAATGACCTGCCCGAGTGCATGGCCTGTAGTATATCCAGGATGATATTATAGCAGAGTACAGTCTGTATATAAAGATGGACAACGTGTCTCCACTTCTTTCCTCCTACTTCCTGTTTCTGCGTTTAGGTCTTTGTTGTGTTTATAGAATCACATCTCAGCACAGGTCAGATGCTCCTGACCAATAAAATCTCTCCATCAATCTATTATAAACACTTAGTGAATCCAGCTTTAGAACTTTATCATTCACAAACTTAAGTTCCATCCTTCGAATCCCAGTCGATTCGTGTCCAACATATTTGTGACATACTGGAAACACTGAAGCTTCACTGCCCCAGTTTCCAGAATGAATCCCCACTTTTGTGCCAATTAGCAGATGAATTTCCCTCAAGTGCCGGAGCTGTCCGAGCGGAGCCACAGTCCGCCCTTGCTGTTCCCTTTCTGTGTGTGTTAGTGAAGGAGGAAACTGTAACACCAACTCTTCCAAAATGATCTGCCCAACAAACTGAGGGATTCATCGCTGTAACCATCGTCATGTCCAAGTTAGCGTCGCCACCATGTCCCGCTTCCCAGTGTTCCTATGGGGAAAAACGTGCCTTATCTCTCGTCCCCATCGGCGGACTCCCTCCTCACATCTTCAGCTCCAAAAAAACGAGGAGATAAGAGTGAAATTTGATTATTTAATGTCCCCGAAAAGATATCTGTGTGAAATTAAAGGAACACAAACCTCTCCTTCTATCTCGTGTCGATCTCTCTATGAGGTTGTGTTATGGATCAGATTGTCTGAGGCAAAGTTATATTAGATAAAGTTGCTTTTGTGGTATGTACTTTTGTATTTTTTTTTTGTTATGATCTGTATTTAGATATGCAAAGTGACATCGGAGGGTCAAGATTTCCGTTGGCGTTGAGGGAAAAACATTCATTAATGTTTAATGATGTTTTACATTTTTCCACCAGAGTAACAGCATAAAAAGAGAAATATAAATGATTGTACAAATCAATAAAGAAAAATTAAAATTGCTATGTAATGAGCATCCTACATAAACGGATTCAAATCTCAGTCCGCTTTAGTTCTTCAGATCTGTGGTTCAGCTCAGGCTCAAAACTGAAGAAACATTTTCCACATGTTTAAAGCTTCCCACGAGACAAATTGGTAAAACATCCCAAGATGTTCCTCCCCCACCCTCCCCGTCCTCCGCTAATCTTTAGTTTTTTAATCATAATTGACATCTTACATCGCCTCACAAAATGTTTCACTGCCCACAAATGGTGGAAAAATGCACATGTGCTGCAGCGAGGGGGAATCGCTCTCTCACCTTTTCCTCCTTTTTTTTTTTTTCCCCCTTTCTGTGAAAGTGCAGACAGCGAGACAGATTAGAGGAGACACGGGAGGGAAAGCTCTGGTGGGAGTTAACCACAAAACTATCTCCGGACAAAGCGTTAGCCCTGTCGTTTCTAAAAACTGATTTCATAAGATTTAATTTAACGTGTGGGAAAGTTCCAACGCTCCCTTTCACCCTATATATTTTTTTATCTGGGAATGTTCTGTTATTGGGCACGTCTCAATTTTGTAATGCTACAGATGAAGCCTGTGGTTAAAAAGGAATTTGCACTTATATATTTAGCACACGTGTGTTTAGTGTCATTTAACAGCTGATATGTGAAGTCAAAACATCTGTTTCGTGGCCTTGAGGTGGAAGAATAACATGTTGCTGTTTTGATTTTGAACACCACCATATATGTAGGTCCAGCGAGGTGACCTGTACCTCAACCGAATGTGAAATGATTTGTAGAGATAAGAAACATAAACATCATCTCTGCTCTGTCACTGGTATTTTAGTGTTTAGGTCGAGCTGCACATGTGAATTTCAATGTGAATCCATCTCAAAGCTGTGGGATGAAAAAGCATCCAATCCACTGCCCCGAAAATATGAAAGTATTAATTTAATGATGCCAAATAGGCATGACTTTGCTTATGACTGAATTAATGTGATTTTCATCCAGATCCCACAAAGACGCCGCATGTAGTCCTCATGTAATGCCAGCCGTGGGGCTCAGATCTCTGGGATAAGCAGGGGTTTTGTTTTGCCTCATGAGGAGCAATAGATGAAAAAAGAAAGTCCTGTTGGCGGAGGATCTATTTAAGGATTTGTGCATGACAATTCAATTAAAATAAACTCAATAAATTCTCATCTTCCTCAAGGCAGTAGGAACAGCTCGAGTCGAGGAATACTCTGTAAACCTTGAGTAGGATCTCTCATTCCAGTTGCCGTTTTGATGTTATATATATATATTAGGGCGACTACGTAACATGTATCCAGAGAGAGATGTGAAACTATCTTTGGCCTGGTTGGTTTATTAATGTGGACCTTTCCTGTGAAACAGCCAGATTAATAATAAACTCGGCATACTTGCGCGTGAAAACCAGGACATGGAGACATCCGGGTTTATGTAACTTGGATGTAAAGACACAAGAGAAAATGAGATTTGGGTTTCAGGTGCGGATTTTACCTCCACCAGAGAAATGTTAAAGCAAAACCATGGAATGTAAATAAAAATTGTCACCGTGAGGTCGAATGCCGTCATTTTGTAAATTATCGTCCCATTTAAAGTCATATACGATAAAGCACTGTATGAATTGGGGGCGTGTGATTGACAGCCAGTATCATCCAATAGCTCCACCTACTACAGGTCGTAAGTGGAGCTCTCTCTCAGGCTCCACCCCCCAGCTCCTCCAAAAATATGGTTCCTTCTGGTTTCACAAAACCAAGATGGCACCAGACAAAACAACAAACTCACGGCTTCAAAACAGTTCGTTCACGAAATAAAAAAGAAAACTCCGGACTGTCTCTGGATGTTTTTACTGTTTCAAGGAGTTTAGAAGAAGACAGTTAACGTGAGACAGACTTAACACTGACTTCATAAAGTGGGATGCGGAGACTTTTTCCTGCTTCCGACCTTTGTGGAACTTCTCTCATCGTCTAATCGATTTAATCGGGATAAAAAAATCCTGGTCTCCCTGCGTCAAAGTCTTGGCCCATATCCCCAACAGTCCATTACATTCTCAACCTCTATGGCTTCTGCACATCCTGCATTGGAACATAATGTTGCCAGGGTGAAAACAACATTTCCTCTAAAAACATATTTGCCAACGCAGTGACCTCAGATTCATTCCATGTTTGTTTGCAATCTGGTTTCCCTGAGTTTCCTCCTCAGTATTTTCAGGGTGGTATTGTATTAAGACAGATCCCGCCCCTGGCTGGAGAATGTTGGGAATCTCATTGCAGGTCTGTGTGACGGACAGGAGAGCGGCTGGACGGACAGAGGCAGCCCTGTGTTTGGACAGTAAACAGACTCCCTCCGCAGAAAAACACACAAAACAGAAGAGAAGAAGTTACAGAACATTTCTGTTTATCTTCGCCCATTGCCTCCTCACCCTGGACATCCCTCCACATGGGACTGTGTGGTCTGAAAACAACCAGCCAATCACAGGGCTTAACCAAAAGGAATCCACTCAAGATCCCTGTCCATGTGTCCTTTGTCCCCTCAGGTGTGTCACAGCGTTGACACAGTGTAAAGACTCATTACCAACAATACCCCTTTGAGTGAATGTAGATACACGTCAAAATCCAGATTTGCACTAATGTCTTTGTGGATTTTAAATCAATTTAATAAAAATTCAAATAACCACAAATTATTGCAAAAAGAAGAGGAGGAAAGAAAAGGTTCAGCCTTTATTTCTCCTGCAGGGGGCAGAAAAGCACAAAAGTTGTACAGCCAATTATAGGTTTGCAAAAAATAATTTGGTTATTGGTTCAGTCTAAGTACAGTAATTGTAACACATTGATATAAATATGCATCTGAGTAACATTTTTAAAATGTCCAGTTTCTCTAAGACAAATTATTGATTTCATATCACTATTTCTGGTACATTTTCTGTGGTATTGAGAAACTGTCATGGCTGCCAGAGCATAATGAACAAACATCTACTCTGGTTGTAAACCAAAACATTTTTGCTGTTGTCTTCTCGAGCTCAGTGGTTTTAAACAGACCCGCGAAAATATACAACACACTCACTAAATCACTAAATATTTCCCTTTTTCATATTTGAAATTTGTACTTTCAATAAACTATCGCTGTAAAAACAAATTCTCCAAATTAAACTATGATTTGTTTCAATCCTTCAGAACCACTTGTTTCCCCCCAGCTCCCTCCTCCTCCTCCTCTTCCTCCTCTCTTTGCAGAAGAGTTCGCTAACTACCTTGAGAAGAATGTCGACAGTGGTTCCCAGTCATTCTTTTCTCATTTCCCAGGCCTCCTTCCTCTTCTATTCCCACTGATCCTGCCACAGAATCTCTCATCTCTCCATTTCTACCAGCAGTAGCCTCGATACAACTGTGTCTGTTCCGACCTTTGACCTTTTCAAGACTTTCCTAAACTTGATTAATTGTGGTATACAAAGTATTTTTTAATCATCAAAGGAACTGCAGGAAAGAAAATCACGATGACATTTATTTTTTTTTAAACGGTGGTGGACAAAGTAAAAGAAAACTAGGAGAAAAAGTGATTGACAATGCTGCATATTTTGGTCCTGCAAACTTTAGGTAAAAGAAAAAACTGAAGCATCTTATGTCTCCTTTAAGACACTAAAGAATTCTGCGTCTCTCTTTCAGATTGTCCTTCCTGCCAAACCGGAGCTACAGTGACAACGGGCAGACGATACTGGCGAACGACCAGGAGTCCCAGGACTCTCTCGGGGCGCGATGAGGAGGAATTTACGATGATGGAGCTGTGACATAATCAGCTGATGAGGACCCCTGCTGGGATGACCGGCCCAATAATGAGGACATTGTCTTTTCTGGACTCCCACTCGGAGATCGGACATCACATATGTTGATGACGTCCGGTGAAATTCAAGGGTCAGTGGCACTACTGTTGAAAATCAGATCGTCGAAAGGAGACGAGTGAAGCGCACTGGTGCAGGAGCTGATTCTAGAAAGCTTGTGAAACACACATCTGTTCTCAATCCAACATCTGGATCAAAGGATGTGAGGTTCAAGTCAGGGGTCCAGGAACGACAGCAAATTATGAGCCAAAGTCAGAAGAACAAGGTGGGAGAATCTCCCCAGAGAGTAACTGTCACTGGTTCACAACAGTGACAGCCAGTGTTTTTACTGCATTCTTACATTTTTACCAGCATCACTCGTCTTTACTCCAACTGCTCGATGCATCATCAACAATGAACATTTCTATTTGTATCCAACAGTGAAGACAGAAAGTGACTTTATTTCTAAATACATCGAAACTTTAACTGTGATGAAACGATTTCCATGGCGCAAAAATAATGTTGCACTTACTGTGAGTTGAAGGTTTTAAAGTGTGTCTTGTGTCTCTGGTCACATCCTCCTGTGATGCAGCTCGACACCGCTGCAGCAACGTGGACCTTTTGAAAATCTTCATCCTGCAAGAAGCAACGATGACGTGTGAAAATTTGACTCTGAAGAGTTTGTTACAAAGCACTGAACGTACAGTCAGGCCGAATCTGAAAGAAAAAAGTCTGATCAAAAGCTTGTGAAATGAGCAGCGTCTTTAAATGCAGATGTATGAAGTGCGTGGAAAAATCTGGAAAGGATTATATGATGAAGACTTTTTAATCCAAAGAGAGTTAAAGGAATTGATTTAACTCTCAGTTTACATATCAGAACTATCTCTTTATGTTACAGTGGATCCAAATGCAGAGGCGATGACAGGCTGTTGCTATTAAAATAATAAAAAAACAGGCTTACCGGCAGATAGATTGACGTCCACTGTGTGCAGGGAGCAGTCACACAGGAAACCACACAGGAAGATAAGCACATGATCCCATAAGGAGCTGGTGACAGTGGTGGGTTTACATACATTATATATATATATATATATGAGAGTGGGCCGGGAAGCTCAGGTGATGGAAATAGGAAACAGGTGAGAACAGGAGGAGTCTGGTGAAACATGGTGGGCGGATGTAGAACGAGAGGTCTGAGGAGATGAAGAGATGCAGCCTGGGAGAGATGAGCCGAGAAGCACTGAGCATCAGACTGTGACGGTCTCAGTCTCTGTCTGTCACAACATCACACGTGTGAAACAACCCACCTACACTGTCCTCACTGAGATCTGCATTTTTATTTCAGCTTCTGTCGACACCTCTGCCTCAGAGAAGAAGAGACGACTAATGTTTTTCTGACAGAGCCTCAATATCCTGCTTCAAAGATTGAGTGATAACTGAATGTCTTTGAATAATTCACAATACTCACGATTATCGTCTGTGATGGAGATGATAAATAAACAGAGACTTTCACAAAGAATGTTGTAAAGCGATTGATTTCTGGATCATGTGGAAGTTTTTGCATAAGTAAACTGAGAAAAACCAAGAATTAAACTCAACTATATGACAAGACCTTTGGACCATGCACATTTAAAATAAATAAATAGATAAATAAACTTTTAAACAAAAGAAGACATTTCAATACATTTCCACAGTCAAAGCAGTTATCCCCCAAAATTCTAAGTTTATGTCACACAAGTATATATACAGTATATATAGATATAAAGATTAAATACTTGCATATTAGCAAATAAATATTCAATTTTCATTCATATAAGTTGCTAATCTTGGATAAAATATCTGGTGGTTTAATAGTTTAGTTTTTTTCTTCTTTGTAATTTGTACTTTTTCTAAATAATAATGTCTAGAAAGTTTTAGGATGGGCACATAATGTGCATGACACAATAATAAAAATCACTCAAAATACATTTTGGCTATTTTTTGGATTTCAAATTGTATTCACGCACGTCTCCTGTTGAAGATTAACACATCACAACTTAGATTAGGTTACACGAGCATGAAGCACAGACTAATATTACGATGTGTGGGCCTGAACGACATTTTTAACAAGCCTTTATTATTTTTGGCGGTGGCAGGTGGCGATTACACACGAAGCCCCTCATCAGGAAGCCTATTTGGAAACAGCAAACACGATTATCCCCGTCATCTCTCCCCAGGCTGAAAACAATCTTTGAGCTCATTTGCCAGGTTGATTGGCACTGACCTCGAGTCTGTGGGCCATTAACCAATCAGGGGGAATTCATTACTCTGTGAACCCTTCAAAACAGAGATGTCAAACTCAATAGTGATAAAATATCATATGTGTATCTTAACTGGTGCACCAGAGCACAATGCCGAGCTAGACGCACACGGAACGAGCGCCCCTCCTCACCTGCCCAGTATCTGGTGTCAGTAAATTATTTTTCCAGTGTTCCAGAGATCCCAGTGCCTGTGCTGCTGTCTGTGCCCCTTCATGTTCACTCACACGCTTTTCTCTGTGATGAAGAAACAAGAACCCACAGGAGTCGTCTCAATGATGCACACCTTCACTCCATCTTGAGGGTTTCCACAGCAAACATCCAAACCCCAAACATTAATGAACCGGCAGCCAAGAAAAGACGCTCTGGCTCTGGCACATGTAAATAAAAGAAGAATGTAGCCGACCTAAATATGTTTTCTTTTTGCACTTTATCCAATATCCTGTTAAATAAGTGTTGACCCTGTTTGGCCCTCGACGTAGTGACAGTTTTTAATTTTGACCCTATCTGTGATTGAGTTTGACACCACTGCTTTAAAATCTCACCAACTCCAACACGAAGCATGAAGATTTCAAAGCGCTGCCTCAGTGTCAGAGCTGGACGTGGGTTTCCTAAAAGCATCTTGGTCTTAGATTCATCTTAAATTAGCATCAAATGATTATTAACTCCAGCAGCGACAGATCCAGTGTTTTTATCCTTCTATGGGCTGCTGGAAATTACTCATCTGAGACAAGACATGTTTTTTTCTTTTTCAACGTGAGTCCAGTCTAATCAGCTCAAGAGTCGTAAAAACAACTTAGTTATGGATTGAAAAATGTGATTCCAGGGGTTTTATTACTTCCTTCCTTGTGATGGTGGGACGTCAACACTAGAGTCTGGACACGTTAGATGGTTATCATTAAACTTGAGTTTTCATTGGAGCTGAGGGGGTTGATCAAATGTCTATTTACCAAATCAACAGCTATCTACTTTCTTTAACTCTTATGAAAATGAAAAAATACATTTTTGACAAAGTACAAGTTGAACCTTTGTCATTTGTTCAAGTGAGGAAACTTTTGTAAACAAAAGGTCCATGAATCCATTACTACGCCAAACCTTTTACTTCACAACCAGTGATTTCAAAGATCAAACGTTTTTCTCATTCTCTCATTAAAAAACTACAAAACTACAAACAAATACACATATTCAAAAAGTACACAATGTTGTAGTTTTTCCCTTCTGGACAAAGTATTGGAAAAACTTCGAGATTGGATACAACAGCTCCACCTCGACTTCCCCTCAGTTTTTCTCTTCTTGGTGATGAAACACTTCTGCCACAAGGTGTCACTAAAAGTTTGGTCTTTTTATTACTGCAGCAAATCTTGTTTTGAAATCCATAATGTGTTAGACCTATGACTGTACATGCTTCCTATCAATACTACTACTAACACTAATATTTATTCCTGTATATCAAGGGTTTATTGCATTAATAGACTTAGATATTATGTTGATATTATTAAAGCCATAATTATCTGAAGTACTGTTATCTGTGCTTTTTGTGTTGTGTTCTGAAAAGATCATTTGTATAAGTTTGATAGTGTAAGCTATTAATTTATAAGTCATATGAATGTAAGCTGACTGTTTGGACAGAAAATCTATGAAATTTGAAATGTCAAAGAATAAATATACAATGTCCAGGTATGTCTGAACACAAGCAAACAGATGTGACCATCCATGGAAATAAAAAATGTGTCTGGCTGGTTTGTTATTAGAGGAATGAAGGAGTAAAAGCTGCTTTAGCCTCATCTCTCCCATTCTACTGCTTTGTCTCCACACAACCACTAGATGTAGATGCAACAACTGAATTAGGTTCAGCTCCTCCAGAAGAGATGAGGTTGATTTTGACTTCAAACTGAGGAGACAAAACTTTACAATATTTGTTCTGTGTCGCGGAAATAAAAAGAATTTCCTGACCTTATTTTCAAAGTTCAAGATCAAAACCTTTATTTTTCTATTATTATTTTCTAAATCGAACAGAAAGGATCGACCCTCATTTGGCTTCAAGACACCAACTCTACAAGATTCAGACTTTTTTTGTCCATGAATCCAAATAACTGCATGTTTAGTTTAGAACATGTTTTCGTGCTTCTCATTATATTTTATCAAAAACCTAACCATCAGTCTTCTTCCTTGAGGAACATGCTGTGTAATAATCACTGGATCAGGCTACTGGACAAACTGTTTCAGGCTCATCGCTAAATTTAAACCTGGTTCACACAAGTTACTGGATCTTTCACTGATTTGTGCTGCTGAGTCAACAGGAAGAGTTTTTATACCTAACCTCTGTAACGACTCTTCAACCACATCTTCACCTTTCATGATCTGTGAGAAGAAACCATCAACCTGGACAGGAAGTGTGTTCTGTAATCTCCCATAAACATTTACGCCCCTGACAGGCAAAGAGATTTACCCTCAGCTAAATTAGTTAATAAGTAGAAGACGGGCCCCTTGGATTTATACTCGTACACCGTGTCTTCGACAGACTCCTTGAAATCCCTATGAAGGTTGTTTCCTTTCTTCTTTCTAGGCCTATTTTAAATATCATAGGAAATACTTTAAAATGTGCTCAGAACAAACCAAATTCATCGAAATCATAATTAGTGTAGATGTAAAGGTGGAGCTCACCAACACATGTATTTACATGTGACTTCTCCAGACCAGCCAGGCAGAGGAGTGTAGACGAGAAGATCCGTCAACCAATCAAGACAAGGAATTGTGCAGCTCCACAGACGGACACCATCTTTTCTTATTGTTGTATTTTTGAGCCCTGCCAATGAGAGGAGATGTGAGTTTGACAGAGTGATCCCATCTTGATGTGGGCACCAGGTTGAACTGTAATCTGGTTAAAATCACTTCAAGAGGGAACAGGTGCTGGATGATAATTCTCAGCGGAACTCATCATATTCAAATCTCCGCACTGTCATTGCACCTCATCTAGATTGTGTCTGGATAAACGCCAGTAATTCCAAATCTCTATTATATATTGAGATTTTTAGATTATATTTTCCTCTTTTTGACTTCTTATCCACCTCTTTTTTTTCTTTACACAAACGAGCAACAACACATGGAGAAGAAGGAATCGAACGGCAGCAGGAACAAATGTCGTGAAACATCTTAATGCACAAACGACTCACATGTTAGCAGGTCTGGTTAGAATTGTGCGTCAAATGTCTCTAATGTGTCTTAAGCATATTGATGTCTGCTGACAAATGCAACTGTATTCATTTTCAAATCACATCTACGTGCACACACACACACACACACCAGCAGGAGTACAATCACCATAGCAACCGTCATCCACAGCCATTGTCCCCCCTCCCTCTGTTCATCTCTTCTACTCTCTCCCCTCCCCCTTGGCTTGACTCCAATCCACACACACACACTAAAAACAAGAGGGGGGGTTCCGCTCCCATCATGCTTTGCAAAAGGAAGCAGGAAGAAGCAAAATGCATTCAGGGTGCATACTGGAGCAGAGTGGTGTGGAGGAAGACAACACACTGATGATGGATGAGGACGCACCAGTCAGGGAGCGATGGCCGGCGTTGCCTGTTCAAGCTGCTCCCTCTCTCTGGGTGAGTTCTCCATCGTGTATTAAACCAGGGAACTGATGGATGGAGCTTAATGGAGCAAACGAGCAGACAGATGGATGCAGCCGGTGGATTTAAAGGGGCAGAGCAGTTATCCCCCCCCCCCTTCAGATGGAGCAGGATGAGTGAGCGAGCGATCTAACAAGGTGATAGGCCGGACCGAAACCAATTAGGTCACGTGATTAGTTTGGGTTAGAAAGAAGTGACTGTGATCTTATTGTGCTTTGATGATGTCTTGTCCACCACCATACACAATCCAATCTTAACTGAGTGTATCAGAGGGAGCGAGAGAGGTTAACGGTCACCACTTCACACCAACACTCACAATGACACCATTCAGTCTAATATAACACACACACACACACACACACACAC